TTACTGGTTGCATGCAGCTGGTAGTCTTCCCCTTTTAATTGTCTGCCTATTATAGCTCTAAGAGTTGTTTTTGTCTCCATTTTAGTGGATTGTAGGGTCTTACTGTGTGCTGGCTATGTAAGGCACTGTTGGGGTTTTGCTACTATTTTGAGTAGTACTGTGCTTGTAACCACCAAGGTAAGGGGAGCTAGAATATGTCTTTTTAATTGGTTGCATGAACTGTATGCTGAGTTTGGTACTGCTCAACTTTACTGGTTGCATGCAGCTGGTAGTCTTCCCCTTTTAATTGTCTGCCTATTATAGCTCTAAGAGTTGTTTTTGTCTCCATTTTAGTGGATTGTAGGGTCTTACTGTGTGCTGGCTATGTAAGGCACTGTTGGGGTTTTGCTACTATTTTGAGTAGTACTGTGCTTGTAACCACCAAGGTAAGGGGAGCTAGAATATGTCTTTTTAATTGGTTGCATGAACTGTATGCTGAGTTTGGTACTGCTCAACTTTACTGGTTGCATGCAGCTGGTAGTCTTCCCCTTTTAATTGTCTGCCTACTATAGCTCTAAGAGTTTGTTTTTGTCTCCATTTTAGTGGATTGTAGGGTCTTACTGTGTGCTGGCTATGTAAGGCACTGTTGGGGTTTTGCTACTATTCTGAGTAGTACTGTGCTTGTAACCACCAAGGTAAGGGGAGCTAGAATATGTCTTTTTAATTGGTTGCATGAACTGTATGCTGAGTTTGGTACTGTTGTACTGTTGATGTTGTGCTGCGATTGAGAAGATTTATTTGCTTGTATTGGATTGTATGGTTGTGGAACTGAAGTGCAATGTGTATATACTATTTTGGATGTATCTCATTTCTGTAATTTTTATGTTGATGTATTTTGGGCTGAGAGATATGCTGTAACAGTGCATAAATGGAAAATTGGTATTCTGTAAGGGTCTTAGGTCACTTGAGAGGAAGTGAGGTAGTGATTTTTGGAAGTAGGGGTTCTGGGCACAATGAGGTTGTTGGGACATCTTAGGCAAGTCAATTGTGACTTGTTAGGATCATAAAACTGGACTAGAACATGTCAAAAGTGGTAAAATCGAAATTGGGTCCTTGAGTTGTGGAAAGTGATGTTTCAAAAGATAAAATTGATCTTAATCACTTTAGATTAGTACTAGGAAGGGTTAGGATCATCTAGGCAGGTGTAATTGAGCTTAATACACGAATTGGAGGTCTTAGAAGTTGGCCAAGAGGCCTAAAAATGGTAAGGGTTGGTGTGAGTGTGTGATTCTACAGAATTTGCGTTCTGTAGATGATGCAGAGTCGCTATGCGAGCTGTCTCACATAGCGAGACCCTGTAGAGAGTGCTCACTGTTTGAGTCATTCGTTATGCGAGTTGGTGCGTTGTGCGAATGACCATAGGGTGTTGCTCTCTGTTTGTGGGTTCGCCTGGCAAATCCTGTCGCTATGCGACTGGTGGTGGTCTAGAACCACTGCCCATTTAATTCGAAAGGCGAGTAGGGCGCATGGCGAGAGTTTTAGGGGGGTTGGTTTCTGTCTGGGTTCTCGCATAGCGACCTGGGTGCGCTATGCGAGGGACCCAAAGTCTAACACTTATTTAGACTTAATTCGCAAGGCGAGCTGGGAGGGTGCGCTATGCGAATAGCGCCAGTTTCGTTTTGCGAGGGTGGTGCGCTGTGCGAAACGTTCAGAGTTTTATTTTCTATTTTCCTTTATATTGTTTCACTTAAAGTTGAATGTTGTATGGTTTGTGAAGTAGGTGTTGGAGCAAATTATATCGTATGATGGGATTCAAACTTGTTATATACTGTTAAAGTGAAAGTGTGTGTGATTCAATGGTATGATTGGTAATTCAAAGTATGTGGTTTTAAAAGTATGGTTGATGGACGTAATTCCATGATCTTCAAGGAGAAGATCCATGGTGGTGCCCTTAGTTGTTTAGAATGAAAGTAGGAGCTCAGTCTTAGGAGTCATTCTGAAACTCCAATGGTCTTTCTTCTCACGTAGAGAGGATTGAACCATGTGGTGAGGAGTGGTAGGAGGTCTTAGTCTTGGGGGCTTCCAGTATGCCTCAAGGCCCGGAACAGGCTAACCTAGTGAGTGTGGTAGGGTGGGAGAACCCAAGTTTCATAAGCCACCACGAGTGCAAGAAACGCCATAGCTCGACTATCATTCTAAAGTCAGGACAAGTCAAGTCTAGTATTAAACATGTTAGAATGAGTGTTTAACTTGCTTAATTGAAATTAACTCTTGCATGCATATTGTCATATTGTATGCTTTTTATATAATTAGCTCACCCTTGCTTGTTGTGTTCGTGTTATGTTTAGGTATGTTTCCTCTTGCGATGATCATCCACTTGGATGGGAGCAGATGGCGAGGAGGTGCCCCTAGAGCAAGCATTGGAGGAAGATGACGCTGAATCCTAGTACCATTAGGATCTCCTTACTTTAACTTTTTGCATTTTAAGAACTATAGTATGTCGAACCCATGGTATATGGACAGACTTGAATACATTTCTTTCGCTTCTTAGTATTTTAAGGATGACTGTAATCCTAATATTCGGATATAGGTTTCTAACTGTTTTCTATTATTATAATACACGCTGTATATTTTGGGGATGTCACATATATGCCTAATTTAAAATATAAATAAAAGAGATTTTTTATATTTATTCTCTATACACAGATCCATACAGGCATATATTTATCTTTCAAACATATTTTTTATTTAGAGGTTATATAAGTTTATTCTTCTTTCTTTATCATTCATATAAAAATTATTTTGTTTAAAATATTTTTATAATATAGGTATATTATTTCGTTCCATATAATAACAAAGTATTTTCTGTTAAGCATCACAGAATAAAAGTTCGACGTATAAGGACGAAGAAGTTCAACACATGTGATTTTTTTACTGCAAGTATATTTATGCACATCTAACTAGAATATCATTTATCCTAATTAAGTTCATTTTTATAAAGCATTAATTAATATTAATAAGAAATTAATAGAGATATATGTTTAAATAACTTCAAAAATAAACATTTAAACAAATGAATTCAAGTTTATTATTAAAGATTATAATAACCTCATGGGTAGAAACTATTTAACATACGTGAAATGAGTAATTATGAATCAATTTTCCAAATCAATGTCTCTACCCAAATTTTTATAACTCTTTGGTTAATATAAGTCTTTTCATTTTCTTTACCTATTAGTTCATCAATATCTCCACAATAACTTTAAAGAATGAGACTCTTAATTATCTATCACATTAATTGATCCAAATTCAATATAAATATAAAACATATTTAGCGGTTATTTACTAAGGCTATACACATAATGTTTTTTTAAAACATATACAACTTTTTGGCTTGTATTTATATACTTATTTTTATTAGTTAGTAAATAAATCAATTACAATGAATCTTTACATTCATATTTATTTCTATTATGTAACACAAATTAATTATAGCTATTTTGTTGCATTATATATCATTTTTCTTTAAAAAATAGTCCCCACAATCCATGTGTTATACCATGTTACTTGTTCCAAATCTTAATTAAGTTATTGTTGAAATAGAGCTTCAAGCATTAAAACTTTTAGGAATTTAAGTATTGTATTCAAAAGATTTTGAAACTAGATTTCAATTTTTCTTTTGTCTAATCTTTGATTTAAATTTAGGTACCTGCTGTGTTGATAGAACAATAAGCATAATGAAAAATAAATTATTCAACTTTAAGGTAATTATAAAAAAAAAAAAAGTTAATGTTGGAAGTTGCACGTTAACTAAAATATATATATATATATATATATATATATATATATATATATATATATATAAATTTTATTTTACACATTGATTTTGTAAAATTGTGTTAGATTTAAATTTCAATTTTTAACCTAGTATCAAAGTTATGAATTACAATTTATCTTAGTAAAATTTATTGGACAAATGAGTTTTTGTTACATTCACCTTCATGTACAAATGAGTTTTTGTAACATTCTTTTACACTTAAAATTCTCTTCTTAATAAAAATAATTAAGAATATCATAATTTATAATTAAGAATATCATAATTTAATATGTTAGAATTTAATATGTTGAACTTTAATATGTTGAACTTTGATGGTCAAAATCTTGACTAAACTCAATTATTAGGGTGATGATTTCATAAACAATCTATTTTAAGTGAGTTTTCTGCACAACTGATTGCTGAAAAGATCATTCTAAAACCAGAACTCTAAACTTTAAGCCATATCCCAAGTCTCAAAACATGCACCCCTACCCCGGATTCCCTTTGCTGCTATAACCTAATCAACATTTCCTAATAACTTTATCAGAAAATAGCCCCTTTCATATTTATACATGTTTAAACATTATATTATATTATATAGATGTAATAATTTCATCTAAACATGCATGAAGATAAATGTGTGGTGATGATATATATTAAACTTTGACATGAGATCATCCTTATTTAAGCTGGATTGACTGAGAAGTCCTCTAGCCTATTTATGACTCAAGGCTCATTAACTCCTCTCTCTTATGTTCTTTTTTTGATACAATTGTTATTTGTTTGGTACAAAAGTTGTTCTATCTGTGCAGAGAGAGAGAGAGAGAGAGAGAAATGTGAGAGTTAATAAGGTTGGATCTTTACCGAGAACAAAATATGAATATGTCATGTTAACTTGACCAGTGACAGAAATATGGCATAAAGGTGTGTAACCCTGGCAGGCCGAGGTTCCAAATTTAGCAAGCAGTGACCAAACACACAGGACTTTTCAGGGGTACCCTCCAATGGGATTCCCTCTCTTCGGTTTAGAAAATTGATGCTCTTTTTTCTTTCTACCTATAACCTCTTTCTAATTTCTACCACTCCCTCATAAACTCATCATCCCAACCCTCATCTTCATCTTTCTCTACTTCACAACACGCAACCCTTTTCACCCTTTTAGATCTCTCTTTTCAACATTTGTTGATATGATTTGAGTAGGACAGTTTAGTTTCTTTTTCAGATATACACCATTGCAATCTGCCTGAGGAATCAAAAAGGGGAGCTAGCTATATCTAGGCCAATGAAGAGGAACAATTTCATGAAAGACTACACTCACACTTGTGCCAACAACAACCCATCAAAAGACTTCACCCATGTTGTCAACTGTTACAACAACAAGCAGAACCAGATGGCTAAAGACTTGTGGGAGTGCAGCACCAACTCTCACAGCAATGCAGATCAGGACTATGTCAATGGCTTCCCTTGGCCTCCAAGATCATACACTTGTAGCTTCTGCAGGAAGGAGTTCAAGTCTGCTCAGGCTCTTGGTGGCCACATGAATGTTCATAGGCGGGATAGAGCAAGGTTGAGACAGTCACCCCCAGCTGAAGGTCAAGCAGCCCATATGTTCAACCTTAACCTTGACCCTACCACAACAAACCCTAACAACTCAACCTCATCTTGGTCCTCGTTACCACCATCTTCATCTTCTGCAACTCTCAAACCTGTCACTTGCACATTACCCTTGTTTGTTTCTCCCACTCCTCCTTCACCTTCTTCTGACTTGAAGAGATGGGTTCTTGTGGATGGCATTCTGTTGAACCCTTTGAGCACAAACACCCCAGAGCCCGCTAAGTCAAAGATTCCAGAATCTTTATCAGCCGGGGCTGGAGAATATGATCATGCTTTTGCAAGAGAAGATGGGTTCACAGTGTTGAAGAAAGGAGAAATTCTGAGGATGGACTTGGAGATAGGTTTGCCTAGAACTTATGATTTAGATCTGGAGCTTCGTTTGGGTACTACTTACTCTTAGGCCACACTCACACGGATAGGTATGAAGCAACCAGCATATGTAGTAGTTGTTAACTAGTTATCATATTTCTCTATGTTAATTTACTAGTTAATGTTGGCATGCAGCAAGAAGATTGGATGATTATTAACTTGAAGTAGGGTCGTATCAAATGGAAATGTATCTATACTCGCCATCTTCAACATAATAGCTAGCTAGATTCTATGTGTCTATGAAGGCTTTCACTTCCTTTACTCAATAGTTACGGGTGAAAAGCTTAATCTTAACTTAGTTTAGCATCTTGTTTTATGCTACCTTTTTCTGTCAAATTTTCAATCAGAAATGATTATGTTTTGGACGTGCATGAATTAGTATCTTTCACATGTTGATGATATCCTAAAGACTGATTGGATTTTGATCTATATATTTTTTAATGAAGTTAGAAAGTTATAGCATATATAGCACATGAACAAAACTTTTACTCCAACATTTAGTTACTGACGTATAATAATATAATGTTAGTTTTGAGCAGTTCTTCAAGGAAGATAACTGACATTAAACAGGAAATTGAAACTAAGCCTAACAATTAGGCATGATGAGGCACTTTGTAGTAAAGTATTTATGTAAAATATTTACTCTGACATTGTGGCATGACATTATTGATTCAATTTCCAACACAAGCCTCATTATGTGACTGCACAAACAATGTCCTATTTGGGGCCACTACATTTTAAAGTTAAGTTGTTCCAACTCGCATGGCAATGAATGGGTTTTCATAACATAGTTTTTTCATTTGTTTGACTAGCCTCTTGACCATATTGGGCACTTGGAAAACGATGTGAGAAATTTAGAACAATCACCAAACTTACCAATGATACCATACGTTTGTTATTGCTGATTTAAGCCCCCAACGACACTTTGCACGGTGACATACATACATAATTACTGTTCAGAAGATAGTTGCTTTATTTAATGTTTATCTGGTTATTGTAAAGCCCTTGCAAGATGCAAGAAGCCGGTAGAGAGAACAAACAACTTTTAGAACAGGAAAAATAAAAGCAATATGCAAAAGAAAGAAATGTTGTGTATTGAAAAGGCAGAAGGAAACAAAAAGCTGCAAGTTATGACCAGTAATATCTACCTTCAGAACAATATCTCACAGAGAGCCAAACAGAGATGTCATTTCATTAAAAATGTTGCATGGTTTTGGTACCCCAATTTTATGGCATCCAGTACTCTTTCTATAGCAACACAAACGTGGCCATGTGAGCTTCCAATCTTCACTTCTCATTGGATATTCCCCCAATATTGATCAGGACAATTCCTTTCACAACTTTCCTCTTACCCTTCATTGCACAACATTTTAAGATTATCTTTTATATATATGTTAGTTTTATAGTATCTTAAAATACTACCATTTAATCTGTGTATACTAACTTCAAACATCAAATACAAGGTTATATATATACTAAATAAAGGGGTTTTGCTTAAGCTCATTATATTAATTATTCCTTTTGAGTAAAATTAGTGCAATGATTGCAGAATGTTGTGGATAATGTTTAAGGGAAAAGAAGGTGTCCTTAAGCTTTCACATAGATAGATGTGAAACTGACAAATCATGAACTGAGATACATAAGTGCCCCACTGATGAAAACTTATGTAATGACAAAAAGTGAGATTTGTAATTAATTGTAGATATATGTGATAAAATTTTGATGGAAATTTGAATAGGTGGTGGTGACAAGAAAGGAGTGTTTGTGAAGATGTTAGTGTCCTTGATTGAATCCTGATCAATCTGGAAAATGGTGTAGGGGTCTCATAATACTTTGAACTGATCAAGACACAATAACATTCCATTTAAGGAAACACCATCATACCCATTTGACACCCAGACATTGTCGGGAACATATAAACCTTAAGATTTGGAAAAAAAACACCCTTCTCAAGAATCCACTAGGGCACTTATTTATGGAAAACAAATTGAAATGTTAAACCATGTTAATTCACACATGAATTGATTGCTTACGCTCTATCGTCTCCATGACTCCATCCCATGTCATCTTTTTATTTATTTTCTCTATTCTCAACTTTTCCTTTTCACAATATATTTCATAACTAATATTTTAAGTTAAAATATGTTTTTACATATTTTTTGTATTATAACTTATATATATATATATATATATATA